CTCTCTCTCCCACTCACTCACTCACTCTCCCACTCACTCACTCACTCACTCACTCACTCACTCACTCACTTGTGCGTGTACATCGTGTAACTCCACCCACGTAATATTGCAGGAGGATCTGCCGTCGCCGACAGCCATGAGTCCATGTGAGTGCGAGTGCTGCCGTGCAACTTGTTGTTGAGTTATTCGTGCAATGCATACCCTGTATATGAGTGTCCGTGCATCCGTGCGTGTGTCTGTGGTCTAATCCACTGTCATTTGTGCGGCCGTATGTTGGATTGATTGACAGTGGCATCACCTTCCCCGAAGGCTTCGCCGGCGAAAGTGACTGCTGGCGCCTCCACCACGCCACCCATGGCGCAAGCACCCGCTCCTGCGCAACCTGCACCACCCAAGTGAGTGGCTGACATGTTATGCGCCTTTGTCAACAAGGACAGGGAGGCACTGCGTGCGCACACGCAAGAAAGTGCGGTGGGAGGGAATGTCGCTTACTTTCTTGCTCTGTCAATGGGTCGCAATCTCAACTCGCCCTTGACTCTGCTGTTGCTGCTGGTGGCAGGAAAAAGCGCGTGCACTGGAAGCCCGACTTGGCAGAAATCAAATACTACGAACTTGAGGAGGAGGAGCGATCCAGCAAACGTGTGTGTGTGTGTGTGTGTGTGTGTGAGCGACTGTGTGTGTGTGTGTGTGTATGTGTGTGAGCGACTGTGTGTGTGTGTGTGTGTGTGTGTGTGTGTGTGCTGGGTTGTGTCCTCTTGTCCCAATGTCCGTTTCCACCCATCCGCCCATCTCTGCAAATGAAGGTTTCCTCCCCAACCGCTCATTCTGCGCCCTCACCTTTGCTTGCCCTCCTCCATGCCTCCAGAGAAACACTTCCGGGATCTTGCGTCGGGAGAACATGAACGAGAACGGTATTGCGCTGCTCGCATTCACGTTGTGCATCACATGCGTGCATGCTTCGTCGGTCCACGGAAAATATTGTCTTGGCTCGCCTGGAAACAACTCACGCATGATGGCTCGTGTGTGCATGGCTACTGCCGTGGTACGGACACGTCTTCGTTGACAGCGTTGCGTTGCAGGAATTGCGAAAGCAGCACGAGATCAAGCCGACACTCGAATGGCACCGCCCAGTCCCGCTCAACCGAGAAGCTTTGCAAGCTGTTTCCGCTGGACTGGTCTGTGTGTGTGTGTGTGTCTGTGTCTGTGTGTGTGTGTGTGTGTCTTGTGTGTGTGTGTGTGTGTATCTGTGTATGTGTCTGTGCGCGTGTGTGTGTGTGTGTGTAATCATGAATGCCTACCCCTGTTTCTCTGCCTGTCTGCCTGTCTTGAGACGTTGGATTGCAGCATTGACACCGCTTGCGCGTGATGTGTGCTCGTGTGTGTGGTTTGCCAGGTGCTTGAGCGTGGAGCAGAAAGCACAGAGCGCGACGAGCAACTTCAGCGCTGTCGAGTGACACTTGGTTCGTGCCAAAGCCATTGCTGCTGCTGCTGCTGCTGCTGCTGCTGTGCTTGTTTTGAACTCTTGCAACATGATGTGGCGTGGTTTGCTCATCTTCACGTGTTTTGCCTTTCGCACGGACGCCTTGCTTTTCCACCCGACAGCATCCGTGTACAGCGGAGAAAACCAGGTTCCTTCCAGCCCTGCAGAGCCCGACGAGGAGCCAGCGGCACCAACACAGCCGTGCGCCACCATCCCCCTTTCCAACGAGGAAGCGCTTGCCATGGAGGCGATGCGTGCTGAGGAACAACAACAACAGCCGCAACAACAGCAACAACAGCCGCAGCAGCAAATGCTCTCATCCATCACAGACTTGGACGTCGATGACTCGTACGTGTGTGTGTCTGTGTGGCTGTGTGTGTGCACGTGTGTGCGTGTGTGTGTCTGTGTGTGTGTGCACGTGTGTGTGTGTGTGTGTGTTTGCGTGTGTGTGTGTGTGTCTGTCTGTCTGTCTGTCTGTTATCTGTCTGTCTGTCTGTCTGTCTGTCTGTGCCTGTTCTCCCCCTCCTCCACTCTTTCTTTCCTGTTTCCTTTGTGTTTGTGTGTATTTCACTGCTTGATGGATCCGAATATTGCCTTGCTTAATCCCTTGGCCCACACCCTATTCTTTCGGTTTTTGTTTCCAGCATTGTCGATGAAGCGACGCTGCAATCGCTGGCTGCTGCTCTCACCTCGGTATGTCAGCCACCACGCGCTTGCCGCGCGGCACATGCCGTTTTGATGTGTGTTCTGTCGAGCATCAGCAGCCCCCGTCCTTTTTGGCTTGTTTGAAAGTTGCCTGCGCCTTGCACATTCCAATTTCGGCTTGCTCACACGTACGGTTGCCCCTGCCTTGCTCGCTGTGTCCGGCATCGGAAACAGCAGCAACAACCGCCTGCGGCGCCGTTTGACCCTTCCAGTGTATGGGGCGAGTCTCAGGCGAGCCCCACGCGGCGCGGGGCGCCCGAGTATGCCCATGTGGAGTATGCTGGGTACGACCGTTATCGGCAGAATATTGGCGCGGCCCAGCCGCCCATGCACCGCGAGGAGCGACCACCACCTTATGAGCACCACCTGCCACATCCCCACCACCCTCGCCCTCACCCCCACGCTTCACCGCCCCCGCCGCCACCGCCGCGCGGTCCTGCCCCCGCCGCCGTCGCAGCACACGCACACGCGCACCAGCACCCGCCAGCCGGGTTTGGGTATGGGCGTGGGGACCGGCGTGACTTCCATCGCCGATCGCCGCCCGCAGCCAGGCGGCGGCGGGATTGGAAGCCGCGGCACGAGATCCCGTGCAAGTTCTTTGCCCAGGGCCGGTGTGCGCGGGGCGACAGCTGCGAATTTCTGCATGAGCGCAGATAGTGTCGTGCTGCGGCTGTGCTGCGGCTGTGCTGCGGTGCAAGCGTGAAGGCGAGATGGTGCGTGAGAGTGAGATGGTACGTGAGAGCAGGTGATGACGGGACAAGGCAACCAGTGTTGTGCGTGTGTGTGTGTGTGTGTGTGTGTGTGTGTGTGTGTGTGTGTGACTATGCGGCATTAGTATTAGTAGGTTGGAGGGGCGACGCCAGAAGCTTTTGGATGGTGGAGGAGGGAAGGAGAAGAAGAAGTGGTTGAGGAGAAGGGGGGCAAGAGGTAGGGTGTGTATAGACCGAGAGTAGGGCACGAGCGAGGTGAGGCTGTCATGTATGCCAGCGTGGTCACATCATGCCAGGTGGACAAGCCATCACAACAAGTGGCGCGTGTGTGTTTGGGATGAAGGTGAGGGCCGCACTGGTGAGCCCAGCATTTTCCTTCTCGTTGCAGCCACCGACAGCAGCCACCGACAGCAGCAGCAGCAGCAGCAACACATGCCACGCCGAGGAACAACCCAGATCCGCTCGTGATCTGATGGCACAAGTCCCAGTCAAGCCGGCAACTCAAACACAAAAGCACGCACACGCGCAAACACACAAAAACACGCAAGCCCTCACGCACAAGAAGAAGCTCGAGCGCGCTAGTGGACCAGCCATTGATTGAGTTGTGAGGCCCAGCACGAGCACAAGCAAGCAAAGAAGTGGCCGTTCTGTTGTTGTTGACAGTGTGGTGTGTCCGGGCGTGGCCACACACACACACACACACACACTGGCGGCGCGCAATTTTTGGTTTGGAGTGATTTGAGCACGTTGTTTGTTTTTTCCTGTTTGGGTGCATTGTTGTTGCTGTTTAAGTTTTGCGCGGGAGGTGTGTTCGCATCAGGACAGGACACTTTCGTTGTATCTTGACGTTGCTTGTGTGCATCAAACCATGCGCTTGCGCAGTAAAGGCTACCTCTGGGCACCTACTGATCTGAAGCTTTTTTAGTGTGCAACGCGCCTCAACGATGTTGAGATCGGTGCCTCGTTTTGGATTGCTTGCATGCATCAAGCGGTGGGACATAACCCGGACACACAACACATACATCAAATGCGCACGCGAGCAGTCCCAGCTGTTCCCCTGCTGGACGCCAGCTTGGTGGATAGCGACGATTGCTGCTTCTTCGTTTACCGACTGGATGTGCTTCTGGGCTTGCACACTGCTCGTCATCTTCCCCCTCCCTGCTCCCTGCTGCTTCTTCTTTGTTGTTGCTGTGCTGCCTTCTCCCGCACAAAAAAGCAGCAAGGCGAGGCAAGCAAGGAGAGAGAAAAAGGGAGCAGGAATCAGAATCAACACACACACACGTTGCTGTGCGGGTGAGTGAGCGAGTGAACTAACGTCGCTGTGCCTCTTTTTGAGCCGTGAGACATCGCCATTCCCCCTATCTGCCCGCGACTTCCATCCTCCCTGGAGAGCCTCCTCACCCACCCATCCATCCATCCATCCATCCATCCATCCATCCATCGGTCGACCCAGCACTGACGCCGTCTTCGCTGGAGCAAGCAAAGCCAAGCAAAAAACAAAGGTCAGCATACCGCAGGAGAAGCAGGAGCACGAAGCAAGCAATGGGCTCTCCTGCCTATCCTTTTCTGCCTTCATGGATGTCTCCCTGTCTCTGTGCAAAGCCGGCATTGGTTGTCCACCATTTCCCACTCACGCAGGGCTCCGCTCTCGTCTCTTCCATCCATCACACTCCACAGCAAGGTCAGATCATCAAGGGCCCAGTTGCAAGGAGGACGCGCACACTTGGTCATCTGCTTGCCACTCTGAAGGCAAAGGAACTAGAGAAACACAAGAAGCAAACCATACGCGTTCGAGCTTGACCGCCGCCCCCACCAAACAGAGCAACGGTGAGCAAGCATGTCATCCTCCCTGCCACACGTCATCGATGCATGCTTTTTGCAGACACCGCGTGGTGGCTATCGTTTCTCCTTGGCGTGTGCATGTGTGTTTTGTGTTGTTGGGTTGCTCGTGTATGCGCTTGGTATCCATATGACACAATCCCTTGCCGTTGCAGCTGCCACATCGATCACTCGCTTGTCTCTTAGCTTGTTTGAGAACCTGCCACCTCTACATAGATCTGTTGCTCCTGCTTGAGCGTGTCTATGTCTAGTTCCTTGCCATCGTGTATTGTTTGCTGTGACGTTATATCGGCTCATCTCACCAACCCTCTTTTGCGCCCACCGCTCCCTCACAAGGCAAGACCACCTGGCGGGCCAACGGCAACAACACGCGCACGGCGCCTCTCCTTTTGCTGCTGCTGCTGCTGCTGCTGCACTGTACGTTGTTGCTACCGCCATGGTGTGTATGTTTGTTTGTGTGCATGTCGCTCTGCTTCGTTGTTTTCCTGCATGGCTTGCCCATGCATGCAGGCACGCACGGCTGCGTCAGATGTTACCTTGAGTTTATGTGCTTGGGAGAAAAAAAAAGGACATCCTCAACCTCTCCTCCTCCTCCTCCTCCTCCTCCTCCTCCTTTTTTTTTTTTTTTTTTTTTGCCTGGTTGCTCCCATGCCCTTCCTCGCTCGCTCGTATCCGATCGCACATTCCCTCACATCAAAGCTTACACTTTGGTGGGTTTGCAGATGTCAAGCTTGGCTTCGCCTGCATTGACAGATTCTGAACGATTGTCTCGCGACAGCGGTATCCGCCTCTCTGCATCTCCTCCACAGGCCGATCAACAACCGGTGCGCTGTTCTTGCATGCCCTGCAGATAGAAAGTGCAGTCATAGCAACTTGCCCCGAGAATCGCTGCATACCTGCACACATGCAAGCAGCTGCAAGCAGCAATTCTCGTTGTGCCTTTGCGACGTTGCGACGTGCCGTGTCCTTTGGATTATAGGGCACCTTGTTTTCGCTTGTTCTTGCTTGTTCTCTCCCCACCCATCCCAACTGCTCCCACGTTCCTTGCTTCATTCGCCTTCTGTCAACGCCCATTGTTCCTTTGTTCTGACACCCCTCTGTTCTCTGTCTTAGTTGATTGCTTGAGTGTGCTTTCCTCCCCCCCCCCCAAGCCGTTGCTTGCGTGACTGAGATCACCATCGTGTCCTCGTCTTCGCGTCGTTCTCACACATGCTCTGGTTTATTCTCTGCGATTGTCCATGCGCTCTGTTCAGACCAACCCCAAGACCCTCAAACGGTGAGTGTTGCGGTCGCGCCGCACGACAAGCTGTTGATCCCACCAGAGCACACACCACCTACTCTCGCCTCCTCTGTCACAGACCCTTATCCAACACTGCAATTGATTCAACTTGTCTGCTCTTTGTGTGCGTGCGTGCGTATCGCTGCGGTCTGGGCCTCACTCCCTGGGTTGTGTTTCAGGCGTTTCTGCAACGTCTCACGCCCTCGCCATTTCAACCCACTTTCCGTCAACATTGTTCCACATCACCCCACTCCACTCTCACACGTTTGCCCCCTTTCTTTGCGTGACACTGCCAGAACTCCCTATTCCATCAACACCGCCACCATTTCCAACATCGACACAGAAGAAGTCAGTAGGATTGACAAGGGCGCAAAGCCCGACAACTTGCGCTTGTCTCTTTTGATGCCGGGACCCACATGCTACGTTTGAGCGCATTTTTTTTGCACCGTTTTGTTAACGTCTTCACGCTCTGCAAACCCGCCGTCAACTTCATCATCACTCATCATCATCATCATTGTCATCATTACCGCAATCAGAAGGACAGCCCCGCAGCAAAGGTCGAGCACGACCTGCGCAAGTGGGAGGTGCGTGCCATCCCTCCCAAATAGCAACTGCACCGCTTCACTACTCATTCACTCCCACGCGCTACGTGCTGCCATCTCTCGCACTGTTGCTACTGTCGCTCGTCTTGTCCAACGTCATGTATGCAAGTGGCACTTTGTTCTCGCTCACACTCGCACACACACACACGCACACCCAAACTCACACACACACACACACCAAACACACACATACACACATAGGAGACGATGGATGCCGTGGATCCGCAGAGCAGCATCAAGAAAATTGAGGACGATGACACGCGCTGGCTCAACACGCTCGCTGACACGGATGTCTTTGACGACGGCCCGACCACTCCACCCCTCACCACAAGCGTGAGCGGCGGTGCGTTTAGCCAGGACGACAGCGGCCTCTCGGCGCTGCCCTCCTTTGGCACGCCGTCTTCCACTGTGGGCACCGCGGCCACGCTGAGCAACACCAGCAGCACGCACGGCACCATGGCCCCCGGCACCCCGCTGCACCCTCACGATGCAATGGCCTGGGCCACACACGCCACGCCGTACCCCGAGCCACCGCAGCAATTCGCCGGCTTGGAGCCGGCACTGGCATCGCTCTCGCTCTCCGGGGCAGGCCCTTGGAGCCAGGCGGGGCCACAGGACAGCACAGCCAGCGGGCCCATGCCCACGACGCAAAACGAGCAGCAGGGTGGGTGGTCTCTGCCGCAGCACATGTCTGCGCCGGACAGCGCAAACATCTCCCCGCCCCTGGCAGATGACAGCGGCGTGGCCACAACGCCTGCGCGCCCCCAGGCCGAGTTTCACCAGCAGCCGCAGGCCTCCGCTGGCGGCGGGTTCCAGCCATGGTCCGCTTCAATGCACCCACAACAGCAGCCACAGAGACAGGCCATGCAGCACGCTCACGCCCAGGCCCGCCACCCACAGTTCCAGCAGGCGTACATGTTCCCGCAGCGTGCCAAGTCCGTCTCTGCCGACCCAAACATGTTCACGGGCGGTGGCACGGGAATGAGTGGCAGTGGTGGCCTCATGCTTGCGCCCGGGTCCCAGGACTGGCTGCCTGCCAACCCCCCTTCTTCTCAGCAGCAGGAGCAGCAACAACAGCAGCAGCGGCATGACCCTGCCCAACAGCGGCAGGAGCAAAAACCGCCACAGCAGCAGGGCATACCCCCACCCCAGCAGCATGTTATGGGTGCTTCGTTCCAACCCCAGCACCCACATCATCAAGCCCTCCATCTCGGCCACCCCCACCACCATCCCCACCAGCAGCACCTTCATCATATGCAGCCAGGCATGGTGCCCCCGCCGAACCATCGCTATGCACGCGCCCACAGCGAGCCGGCCCCAGGCATGCACTTTCACGCGCCCGGCCCTGCAACTGCCCCTCACACCCCCCACTCTTTCCTGCCCCACACCCCTGGCCCGCTGATGGAGGAGCCGCATGGGCATGCCCCACCGTTCCACGCGCACCCGCACCCGCACCACGCTCATCACCACCACCTCCATCATCACGGTCATCCCCACCATCCACCGTCCGCCTTCATGTTTGCGGGCGCGCCATTGGCCTCACCGTCGACTGAATTCAGTCATGACAGGTACGATGGAATTTAATGTGGAGTTTCCACCCTTGCTGGCCCTGCATGTGTGCCGCACTAATTTTCAATGCTCTTGCATCGCTGCTTGTCTCTCTTTCCCCCATTGCTTCCGTTTCCTTCGTTCGTGTTTTTGGAGTCGCCAAATCATCCACCCGTCTTCTCTTGGGGCGGCCTCTGTGCTTTCACTCGTCTTCTCGCTTGTCTCTCCCTCGTTTCTTTTACATCACATCACTTGACGTCACACACTGGCATTGGCGCGCTCGCCACGATAATTAATTTTTCGCTTTGGGCGCAGTTGTGTCTTCGTGTCATCATCAGCACACATTGCCACACACTTCTCTTCCTCCTCGTTCCTTTTGTCGAAGACCTGACACGCTGGCTCTCCCGTCTTGCTTTTCTCTGACAACAACCATGTCGACTCACCAGTCTGCCTATGCTTCTGTGACACCACCATCACACGCACCACCTCCTCCGCCTCCGTCGTCGCTCCCGCTTGCATACGCGCCCCATCCCCACGCACCACCCCACAACCACCACCATATCGTGTCAACGACGTCTGGAACGGCCGCACTCCACCACGTCCCGCCACAATTCCCGCAACCTCAACACCCGCACTCCGCACCATCACCCCACCTCGCGCACAACCCCTATCCGGAATACAATCCCCGCGCTTCCCATGCACCCATGCAACAACAATCACAACCACACCAACTTGTGCAACACCACCAACCGCACCAACTCGTGCAACAATCACAACCACACCAACAACAACCTTATCATCAACAACCATATCATCCCCAATACCAACAACAATACCACCCCGGCGCACCCGCACCACTTCCTCCCCATCATTCGCATGTGCACCCGCATCATGGCCATGCTGCCGTTTCGCACCTGCAAATACCCTTGCATCCCCAACACGCTGTGGCGCATCATCCGCACGCCTTTCATGCGCAACCCCCGGCCGTACCCGACCAACCACGCAACAACAACGTCAACACCGCCAACGCCCACGACAACAACAGGGATGGCCGGCGTCGCCCATCAAGCAGCCGCAACAGCGCCGAACGCGGCACGCCGCGGCGCGGCAACAACGGCCTGCAGAACACCTTCCGTCGCCTCAACCTCGACAGCAGCACGCGGCTGCGGGACCTCGCGGGCCGCATTGTCGAGCTGTCGGCGGACCAGCACGGTTCACGCATGATTCAGCACTGCATCGAGTCTGCCACGCCGGCAGAAATGCACAAGCTGCTGGAGGAGGTTGGCGAGCAGCTGTACCAAGTCATGACTGACGTCTTTGGCAACTACGTCATCCAGAAGCTGCTGCAGTATGGCGATGGCACCGTGCAGCACGCCATTGTCAACGGCATGCGCGGCCGCGTGCCGGCACTTTCCATGCACAACTACGGCTGCCGTGTTGTGCAGGAGGTCCTTGCCACCGTCACCTCTGCCGAGCTGCGCAACATTGTTCTCAAGGAGCTGGAGGCATACAATGTGAGCGATCTCATCATGGATCAGCATGCCAACCATGTCATTCAGAAGTGCGTCACCTCGCTTTCCCCAGACAACCTCGGCTTTGTCATCTCCGCCTGCGAGCGCCAGGTGTGTGTGTATGTGTATGCGTGTGCGTGCGTGCGCGCGTGTGCATCTGCTCGTCTGTGATGGTGTGTATGCGTGTGCGCATCTCTTTCCACTGCACATCTGGTTTGATGCTCTTGTCGCGCCCACTCGCTCACACTTCCGCCCACCGGCCCCATTGTTCGACAAACGCATCATGTGCACGTTGCGTGCAATTGCTGCGAATGTGATGTGGTGTCTTGTGGCAGGCCTCGGCCATGTCCCGCCACCTGTACGGCTGCCGCGTGATTCAGCGCCTGATTGAACAGTGCGAGTCGACGCAGCTGGCTCTTGTGTACAAGAATGTGCTTGACGACTGTGCCTCCCTCATGAAGAACGCGTACGGCAACTACGTCATTCAGCACGTGCTCGAGCATGGCAAGCAGGAGCACCGCGACGTGGTCATGGACTGCGTCTCCGGCAACCTCCTCACGCTCAGCCAGCACAAGTTTGCCAGCAACGTGATTGAGAAGTTTCTGCGCGTTGCGCGTGCGGACCAGATTTCCTCGCTCGTGGCCGAGTTGTGCCGCAGCACTGCGCTGCCGGACGGAACCACGGCTGCTCCACTGCACATCATGATGAAGGACAAGTACGCAAACTATGTCATCCAGACGCTCATGCAGTTTGCCCCTCGCCAGACGCAGATGGCCCTTCTCGACTACATTCACGCCAACCGCGAAGTCCTTCGGTGCGTGTCTGTGTTGTGTTGTGTTGTGTTGTGTACGCGTGCTGTTTTGTACGTGTGTGTGTGTGTGTGTTGTACGTGTGTGTGTGTGTGCGCGCGTGTGTGTGTGTTTCGTGTGGATGTTGACAACTCGAGCTGCCTTTGGTTTCTGCCTACGCGATCTGCGTTACTATTCGCTGCACACCCTCACGTGTGCACAAATGCGCGTGCATTCATGTGACTGGCAGGGGTTACAACTATGGCAAGCACATTGTTGCAAAAGCAGAGGCTCTGCGTACACAGCGCCGCTAGGTGCTGACTCTCCAACCACAAGAAGACCAGTAGCACACGCCGGTGCTCTCTGTACTTGCGTGTGTCTCATCCCCCTCTCTTGCTCCCCCCCCCCCTTTTCAAGTGTCATTGGCTGCTTTCCTTGCACCAGGGCACTTTCATGAATCCGATAACTGTCTGTATGTGTTCTGTCCATGTCGATTCTGCTGTTTCAACTTACTCCCCGCTCTGTATTTGTCCATGGTCGTATGTAGGCGCGTGTTTTTTCCTTTCTATCCATGTCCATGGGTGGCTTGAGTTGGGTGTTGATATCCATAGCTGTATGCTTTTTACATATCTGTTGTTTTTTCCTCTCCACTTCACCCACTTCAACCACCGATCAACGTGTGGCTGTTTCGTCCCCCCCCCCTCTCTCTCTCTCTCTCTCTTTGCGTTGCGTTTTTCTCCACCTTCCGCGCCCAACGAGCACCAAGCGTAGGTAGTTGCCACCACTAGTGGAGGGTGTTGTTTGTATCCTTTTGGCCCGGCAGCGTTTTGTTTCAACCAGTGAGTGGGTTGTCACCGTGCGTTGATTCTTCAGCTCCTTCCAGCAAGCTCTTTACCCTTTGTGCTTTGTGCTTTGTGTGTGTGTGTGTGTGTGTGTGTGTGTGTGTGTGTGTGTGTGTGTGTGTGTGTGTGTGTCCGATCAGAAGGACCAGCCACGCACTGTTGGTTTTGAGCTTCTTCCTCCTCTTCCACACACGCACACATTCTCGTTGTGTGTCCGAAGAATTCATGTTGCCGGTGCAGCTGTATTGTCCGTGCCATGGACACGTGGTGACTTTTTTTTTGAATGTCATCCTTCACCCCCTTCTTCCTTCCCCCCTCCCCCTCTCTCTCTCCATCTCTCTCAAATGCCATATGTATGTATGCGTGTGTATGCACTGATCCGTCTGTCCACTTGCCCCTCTTCCCATCGCGCTGTGTGTGTGTAAGTGCGATCTTGTACATCACATGGCGCCGCATTCCATGTGTACGGTTCTTTTCTTCGTCGGCGTACGCTGCCCTGTCGAGTGTTTACCGCACTCAGCAGCCAACTGTGGGTGTGCGGTTGTGCTCCCTCCGTGTTGTTTTGTGTGTGTGTGTGTGTGTGTGTGTGTGTGTGTGTGTGTGTGTGCAGATCGCACATTGCCTGCCGACCTGGCTTGTGTGTTGTGTTGTGCGCGCTGACTGGCAACGTCTTCTGCCCTGGAACTTGCCTGCTTGCGCTGTTTGCATCTCAACGCAACCAGTTGGTTGTACGTAATCCGCGGTCTGCACAACGGTTCACGGTCGTCGTCGTTGTCGTGAAGTGCGTTGTGTCGCTTGTGTTTGCTGCTGAGTGCGAACTCTGCTCCATCTCCTTGTACCTACAGATAACCACGCACTCCTCGCTTGCTTGACCAAGCAACGTTTCATGATTTTCCATTTGTTCAGCTGCTTTTTTGTCCTCCTCAGCCTTTTTTCTTACCGCTTACTCTCTCCTTTCCTTAGCGAGCCGTTGACCTGTGTTTTGTTGTCTGTTGTATGCTGAGTGGCTTTGTTGTGTTGGTTGGAGTACACAAGTTTTGTCGAATGACCTATGTGACAGACAAGATATGTCATGTGTTTGTCGACATGTGATGATACATGTGATGTGTTGTGTTGTGATTTCATATCACAATCCCTTGCGCTGTCGGAGCAAACGCAAGTGGGAAGAGGGGTGGAGAGGCAGTGTGGTGATGCCTTAGCGGCAACGAACTACACAATGACATTGCACGAGCACGCGCTTGTTTGCTTGTTTGCTTGCTTCAGTGTGTGTTGGTCAACTTGAGAACCTTCTTGAGGTTTATTTCTGACACACAAACGCCCATGAACACATACACACACGCGCACAACACAAAACATTCAAACATGGAGGAGGTGCAGGGTTGAGAAACCAAAATAGGCGGAAAAGAAACGAGTGTGGTGTGTTGGCAGGTGGAAATCCGGTTCTGGAAAGAAGGTGTGTGTGTGTGTGGTGTGTTGTTTTGTTTGTTGGTTGGTATGGTTGGCGGGGTGGTTCACGCCAGTCAGAGTCAAAGTTAGAGGCTTGGGGACAGGTTGGAGGGATGAGAACACAAACAAACAATCCAAACGTGAGAAGGCACAAGGAATCACCAAACAACACAGCAATCAACGCGACGCAAAGAACAACAACAACAACAACAACAACAACAACAACAGAGACAGAAAAAGGAACAAAGGACGAAAAGGAAGGCGGCGTGCAAGCGAACAACGGTGTTGATACAGTCAACAGCCAATGCCTTTGCACAACAAGCGATGACAAAAGCGCATGAGGAACCGCTGAGCGCGCCACGCACCCAAGTGAACAACACACGCGCGAAAAGTCGCGTACACCGAGAGGAAGCAGAGTGAAACCGCCATGCATAAACGGAGGGGGGTTCACGTACATACGTACACTTACGTACACACACATACATACACAACAACAGCACACCAGAAAACGGAAAAAGAGTGGTGTGAGGACGGACGACTCTTAGTCGCTGCCGTCTGTGTAGTAGTTGACCCAGTTGCGCAGGGCCGAAATCATTTCCTGCAGAAGATGGCGGTGGAGAGAGAAGGGAGAGGGGAGGAAGGAAGGGAGATTGGGCGTGAGGAAGAAATGGCGAGGAGGAAAGGCACAAAAGCGAAGAGACAGAGACAAGACTGGAGAATGGCAAAATGGAAAATGGCCGCACCCCCCCCCCACACATGCTTGCATACATACACACACACACACACACACACACACACACACATACACACATACACACACACACGCAACGCCAAAGACACACAGGCGCACACGCGCACACGCGCGCGCGCACATACACACAGACGCAAAATGCACAAAGACGAACCTGAACTGTTGCGTATGTCTCGACGCGAAGCTCTTCGCACTCTGCCTCGTACTGGTTGAGGGCGTTTTGGATATCGGTTTGCGCGTCGCTCGCTGCACGGTCAATGTTGCTGAAGAACTCCTCCATGGTGTCGTAGAGATCGCGGGCGTCCTGGCGGGCAGTCTCAAAGTCATCCATGACATCGTCGCAAGAGCCGTCGTAGTTGTCAAAGCTGGCAACCGCAGCGTCGTACTCGGTCTTGAACGCGCGCCAATCGGCGTCTGTCTCAAAGGCGCGGATGGCCTCGGCAGAGCCAGGAAGACCAACGTTACCCTTGATGCCGCCGTCACCGCCGTCGCCGCGCTGGCCCTTGTCACCAATGGCACCACTAGGTCCCGGGATGCTGTCACCAACGTAACCGCGCATGCCCTTGAGGCCATCCGTACCATCAAAGCCTGGTTGGCCCTTGGCACCTGGGCTGCCATCAGCGCCATCGACACCGTCCGTACCGGGCTGACCCTTCACACCAGTGGGACCAGTGTTGCCCTTGTCGCCCTTGAGACCGTGGTGGCCGTCTGAGCCGCGTGCACCATCGCCAGCATCTGCGCCGCGTGGGCCAGGGTCGCCACGGAAGCCCTTGAAGCCGCGGTCACCGGCGTCACCGTTCTCGCCACCAGGGCCGGGCAAACCATCCTCGGCATCGGCACCAGCAGGACCCTGGGGACCTGTGTGTGATGTGTGTGTGATGTGTGTGTTGATGTGATGTGTGTGTTGATGTGATGTGTGTGTGTGTGTGTGTGTGTGTGTGTGTGTGTGTGTTGATGTGTGAGCGCACAATCAGCGCGAATGTTTGAAAGAATAAAATTCAAGAGCACGAGTTGTTGAGTACAAACATGTTAACATGCGCAATCACGCCACAACACGACACGACACTACGCAGCACGACACACGCACACGCACAACAACAACAACATAAAACAACAACAACGACGTTGGACATGCAACAAGTGCCGTACCTGGATCACCGCGAGCTCCGTCAAGACCAGGGGTACCAGCGCGACCCTTGGGGCCAGGCACACCATCGTCGCCATCAACACCAGGGATACCGCGAGGGCCTGGGCTTCCATCCAAGCCATCCTCACCAGGGGAACCAGGAGTACCAGGGGAACCGGCGTCGCCGCGCTGGCCCTTGTCACCGGGGGTACCTTCATCGAGACAAAATGCCATGACGAGAAGAGGAGATAGTGTGTGTGTGTGTGTGTGTGTGTGTGTGTGTGTGTGTGTGTGTTGGTAATCGTAAGAAGGAGTGACAAGGGGGTGTTTGAGAGAAGGAGCGACAACAAGAAAGAGCCGGGGGGAGGTGCTTGTTGGCGGTGGCGCAATGGCAGTGGGAAGGTGGAGAAAAATTAACATACAGACGCATGATGAGGGCAGTGCACATCATGAACGATGGGCTGTGTCCGTACCTGGTGTACCGGGGGTACCAGGGATACCGACGCGACCTTTCTCGCCCTGTAGAATGAGAGGAGAGTGAATAGGCACGTATCACGAGCGGACAGACAGAAGTCAGTGGGTGAGAAGATGTCGGCGCAAAGTGTGCATGTGTGTATGTTGATTGCGTGCAATGGCGACAGCATGTAAACAACGACAGTGCAGGTGAACTGACAACGACCACTACGGTGGTGCGAGTGATGGCGAGTTGGCGCAAGCCACCACGACACCAAACATAATACAAAACAATCAGCACACGACACAAGGTAACAACAACAGCAACAGCAACAGCAACAACAACTTAAACAACAACAACAACAACAACAACAACAACAACAACAACAACTTAAACAACAACAACTTAAACAACAACAACAACAACTTAAACAACAACAACAACTTAAACAACTTAAACAACAACAACAACAACTTAAACATGCACAAGAAGCATGTGCGCGCGTTTACACGTACCGGAAGACCGCGGGGACCTTGCAGACCCTTGGGACCAGCATCACCACCAGGACCTTGGGGACCGGCAGGGCCCTGTGTTCCCGGGTTACCTGGGTTACCATCCTCAGCAATTGTACCTGCGCGTGTAAGGCAAGGAAGAGGGGTGGGGAGAAGGCGTGAAGAGGAGGGGTAGTAGGGAAGTGATGTGTGCGTGTATGTGAGTGAGCGCGAGAGCACAGCGAGTGCAACACATGACATAGCATGGCAATGTGAATCATACCACACCGCACACCGCACACCGCACACACACACACTCACACACACGCCACATACACCACACCGCACACCGCACACCGCACACACACACACACACACCGCACGCACACACATACTCTCTCTCTCTCTCTCTCTCTCTTGTACGTGCGTGTGACAACTCACCAGGGGTACCAGCGCGACCCTTGAGACCACGCGGGCCTTGGGGCCCACGAGGGCCAGACAAGCCGTCCTCGCCAGGAGTACCAGGGGTACCTAACGCAATACAAGCAGCATAGCATGGTGGTGAAGCGGTGAGTGAGATTGGTAGTTTGAACGAAAAAAAACCGTGTTGTGTGGGGAGGGTTGCAACCGAACGACTGAGGGAGAAACGAGCGCTGGAGGTGGGTGGTGCCGATCGGCAAACGAGTTGCATCACGCAACATAAAGACATTGAAATGGGTTGTGCAAACACACCTGGAGTACCGTCGCGACCAGCGTCACCGCGGAAGCCCTGCGCAACACGCAAAGAAAGCAATGTGTGAGTTGCGCATGGTAAGTCAAACGTTGACAACACGCATGCAAAAACAGTAAACGACAAAACATCAAAACGACCACTGAACGAACGAAAAGCAACCAACCAACCAACCAACCAACCAACCAACCAACCAACCAAACAACCCAACAAACGATCAAGCAGACAACGTGCAACGAACATCAAACAACCACACGAACACAAGCACTCAAGTTGCACCTAGTCAAGCAGACAAAGCTCGCGCAAGCAGCACAGCACGCACCTTGTCGCCTTGGGTACCATCAGTACCGCGGAAACCCTTTGGACCACTCGGCCCAGGGAAGCCACGAGGGCCAGGGGCACCATCAGCACCATCCAAACCATCCTCACCAGGGCGACCGTCCGTACCATCGCGCCCAGCGGGGCCACGCTCACCCTTCACGCCAGGGGCACCTGAGGTTCCGCGTTGACCCTTGCGACCAGGGACACCGTCCGTACCATCAAAGCCTCGAGGCCCATTCGCACCAGTGAAGCCTGCAGTGTGGCGATCGTGTGTGAGAGTTTGGGGGGGGGGCGTGGAGGGTTTGGGGGGGGGGATGAGCAAAGTTGGTGATGGTAAAATGGGTTTGATGCGCAGGACACAACGTGTGAAGTGGGGAGGACATAACCTGATACATCATTGTTACAACAACAACAACTGAAACAACTTAAACAACAACAACAGAGACAACAACTGAAACAACTTAAACAACAACAACAGAGACAACAACTGAAACAACTTAAACAACAACAACAGAGACAACAACAACAACAACAACAAGCAACAACAACTGAAACAACTTAAACAACAACAACAACAGAGACAACAACAACAACTTAAACAACAACAACAGAGACAACAACAACCTAAACAACAACAACAACAACAGGCAAACGACGCACCTTGTGGACCACGGGCGCCTTGAGAACCACGCTGGCCCTTGCGACCTGGGGTTCCGTCCGTGCCTGGAATGCCTGCGTCACCAGTAGTGCCGCGGGGTCCGTCGCTGCCAGTGAAGCCTGCATCACCATCGGGGCCTTGAACACCGTCTTCGCCAGGGGCACCAGCGTCACCGTGCTCACCCTTCAGACCGTCACGGCCAGGCTCACCAGCCGGACCCTGGGGGCCAGCTGGACCCTGGTCACCTGGGGCACCGCGTGGACCAGTATCACCAAGTGCACCCTGTTGTTAAAGTAGTTGTTGTTGTTGAGGAAAAGAAATGATTGTGTCAATGAGTAAACGAGTGCGCGCGTGTGTATGTGAACGTGTGCGTGTGCGTGTACGTGAACGTGTGCGCGTGCCGGCGTTTGTTCGTTGGTGGGTGGATGATCCATTCGTTTCACGAACACACACACACAAAAAAAAAATGCGACACGCACACACACTCGAACAACTACACAAACATACAACTCCTCGAAAACACGACGATACAACCACACACAAAATGCGCAACTACACACGCAGCAAGGCAATGTACACACCTTGTCGCCAGGGCTACCGGGGATACCGTCGGGGCCAGGAGCACCGTCCAAGCCAGAGGCACCTTGGGGACCCTGTGCACCTGTTTGTGGTTGAAGTGAAGAAATGCAGTACAAAAAAAAAACATCATTTGGTGATGCATTGGCGTGAGTGACAAAGGCGCGAGGGAGAGGACGTGAATACCGTGTTGTTTTGTTTGCGTGTTTGTGATCGGAAGCAGTAATAGCAACCAATCGTAGCAGCAAGACAGGCGAGAGCGCCGCAAACTTACAACAGCAAACAACAAGCGCAAGGATGCAAGCGCACGCATGTTCACGCACACGCAGGTAAGCGCACGCAGTATGCGAAACCACAATAACGTACCAGTGTCACCCTTGGGGCCACGAAGACCGTCTTCACCGTTGCGGCCTGGGGTGCCTGGGGTCCCGTTCAAGCCAGGCTCGCCAACGTCACCAGGGGCACCATCAGCACCATCAGCACCAGAGACACCGCGGAAACCTTTGGGCCCAGCGGGACCTGTCACACCCTTGAGACCTTGCTCTCCGTCGCGGCCAGGGGTACCTGGGACACCAGCTTCGCCCTTCACACCACGGGGCCCTGGCACACCATTTGTACCATCGACACCAGGGTTGCCAGGAGCACCTCGGGGCCCACGAAGACCCTTTGCACCATCCGTGCCTGTAAACGTGTGTGAGTGTGTGTGAGTGAGTGTACGAGAGTGTGTGTGTGTGTTTGATTGTGCGAGTGAGTGTGTGTGTGTGTGAATGCGAGCAAGGAGGACATCACACAACAGTCGCAAACGTTCACGAAGTACAAGCACAAACGCAAGCACAAACGCAAACGCAAACGCAACAGCAACAGCAACAGCAACAGCAACAACAACAACTTAAACAACAACAACTTAAACAACACCAACAACAACAACTTCAACATAACACCCTCTTTTACAATTTCAACAAACGCACCGTCAAAGCCTGGTTCGCCTTGGAAACCCTTGTCACCAGTGATACCAGGGGGACCTGGCTCACCACGCTGACCCTTGTCACCACGTGGGCCAGGGGCACCACGAGCAGCAGCGTCCACACCGCGAAGACCCTTGAGACCCTTGGGCCCGGGTGTACCGGCGTCACCGCGAGCTCCGTCCGTACTGCACAACGAAGGGAAGAAGAAGCAAGCAGAACAGACGAAAGCCGTGCGTTATCGTTGCGTCGGTTGATTAACAAAGCCGCGAGTAAATCGAGAGCGAGGTAGTTGATGGAAGAGTGTCGTGTGTGTGTGTGTGTGTGTGCGCGCGCGTGTGCGTGTGTGTGTGTGTGTGGAAATGTATGTGCAGAATGTGCAAGTGGGTGCGTGCGTCTGCATGACGATGTCTGCATCTGCATTCAACTCACCCGTCCAGACCGGGGCTACCACGAGGACCAGCATCACCAGGGTCACCTGTGCACAACAATCAACGTGTGACATTGCAAAAGAATTAAGAGGGGGGGGGGATTTTGCACATGAAGGTGAGGTCATGTCAATGATGACGTCCGCGACGTGAAGGCATGCGTGTAAAAAGACGACAATGCATAAAGGCGCAACGTGTGACAGAAAACAGAAATATCAAAGGAACCACTGCAACGGCACGTGCATACACGCACGCACGCACAAACCCACACATCCATACATACGCCCAGAAGACATACCTCGGGTGCCTGGGGAGCCTGGGGTACCAGGGGTACCGTTGAGACCGTCCTCGCCTGCGGGACCTGGGTCACCGCGACTGCCATCAACGCCGTCAGTGCCACGGAAACCCTTGGGCCCAGCCAAACCCGAGGGCCCAGCAGGTCCCTCAGGCCCGCGCTGGCCCTTGCGACCGGGAGTTCCTGGGGTTCCGTCACGACCTGTACAGCACACACAAGCAACCGCCAGTCATTTGTTTGTGTGTGTGTGTGTGTGTGTGTGTGTGTGTGTGTGTGTGTGTGTGTGTGTGTGTGTGTAGTTGTTGTTGGTTGTTGTTGGTTGTCGTGAGAGAAAGCGACACATAAAAACGAGCGCATGGGCAAAAAATACTTCCCGTCGCTGAATGTCACCGCTTCATCGGTGGACAAATCAAACCCGACAATGATACACGCTGCGCCCAATGATTATCAACTGCACACACACGCACACATGCGCGCACATGCAGCGCCACTTACCAGGGATGCCAGTGTTGCCGCGCTGACCCTTGGGACCAGCGGGGCCGTTGAAACCTGTGGGACCTTGAATACCATCCTCACCAGGCGTACCATCGACACCTGAACATGTACAATTGCGTGTGCGTGTGCAAGGCAAGTGTGTGAGGCGAGTGTGGAGGGATGCAAAACGAAAAAGATGTTTGCGCAATGCGAACGGAAGGCGTGCATCAGGTACACGAGGTCGCAACACGCACACCAACCACGGTGTCACATACAATGACATGCACGCAGACGCACATCAACTGCCACGTTACACACACACATACACACGCAGACGCGCGCGCACACACACACGCACACACACAAGCATACACACGCACACACAGACGCAAACACAAGCATACACACGCACACACGCACACACATCAGATCAAACACGGCAAACACAACACGTCGGCAATCAACATCGGATACGCACCTGGGGTACCGCGAGGGCCCTCTGCACCACGGCGGCCCTTGTCACCTTGAGGACCACGGGAGCCGGCATCACCAGCCTGACCCTTGGCACCGTTCAGACCGTCCTCGCCAGGGCGTCCATCAGACCCCGCAGGGCCCGTGGCGCCGCGGGAGCCTGGTGTGCCTTGCTCACCCTTGGCACCCTTTGCGCCGTCGTCACCAGGGCGTCCGTTCACGCCGACCGTGCCTGTTGTGCACACAAGCCATGCACACACGCGCGTAGACATGCGCAAAGAGCGTGGTTGCAGTTGTGGTGAGTACAGTAGGCAAGACAAAGGAGGGTGGGTCACCCAAGCATCATCATCATCACACGAAAAGGGGGGGGGGGTTATACAAGTACACAAATAAACAAGTTTTAGGGGGGAGGCTTCGAAGCAACACCATCATCAACTTGGCACACGCGCACAAAACACACAATGATGAAACAAATAAGCGCGCGCGCACAAAAGCACACACACACACATACATACACACGTAAACACGCGCACACAAGCACACACATACACACGCAAACATGCGCGCACAAGCACACGCACACACGACACATGAGCGCAGGCCACACACCCACCACACACCCACCGTCAAAGCCATCTGCGCCGCGGAAGCCCTTGTCGCCAGGGAGGCCATCTTCGCCTGGGCGACCGTCCGTGCCTGGGAGACCAGACTCGCCTCGGAAGCCCTTGTCACCATCAGCGCCATCTGTACCAGGGTTACCCTGAGGACCGCGAGGCCCAGCAGGGCCTTGGTCGCCAGGCTCACCAGGGGTCCCTATTATTGTGCGTGTGTGTGTGTGCGTGTGTGTGTGTGTGTGTGTGTGTGTTGTGTTGTGTTGTGTTGTGTTGTGTTGTGTTGTGTTGTGTTGTGTTGTGTTGTGTTGTGTTGTGTGAGGAGACGCGTTGGGCATGATGCATGACAAAGAAGAGTAGGCGTGGAGGCGAGCGGATGGCTCCTCGCGGCACAAAGGTGAACACAAACAAGACCATTCCCTTCACTGCTGACAACCACGTCACTAGACACACGACACACACGTTTGCGTACCTGGAGCGCCCTGTGCGCCCTTCTCGCCGTCGCGTCCTGCGAAACCCTTGTCACCGCGATCGCCGGGGCGACCATCTGCACCGTTGATACCGTTGAGGCCACCGTCGCCTCCGTCACCGCCGTCGCCTTGTGCACCGTCCCAGCCAGGGACACCAGGCTCGCCAGGGTCGCCTCGCTCGCCCTCTGTGTGGTTTTGTTTCGTTGTTGTTGTTGGTGGTGGTGGTGGTGGTGGTGGTGTGTGCGAATGAGTGTGAGGTGGAAATGTCGTGTCACCAAAGAAAGAAAAAACCAAAAGAAGAAAAGATATCGAGCGCCGCACCAGCGCACCAGATTCAACAAAGACAAAGGCTACCATCACTACCATCAAGCTGCATGCAGGCAGAGGCATGCATCCAAAACGAGGACCAGGGCACCGCACTTCTCCCTCAGAGCACTTCTTTCTCCCCAATGCCACACGTACTCAGTTCAGCGTTTGCGATGGCAGCGGTTGCCAGCAGGGCCAGCACCGCAATCAGCGCAAGCCGCATTGCCGTGTTGCTTGTGTGTGGAAAGTCGCAGTATGTGTCTGTGCGTGCGCTTCAGTCCGCCCGCCTTGTTGCCGAGGCTTGGTTGTCTTCTTCCTTCACCTGCCAAATGCGAGCGAGAGAGAGAGAGAGGGGGGGGGGAGGGTGCGTATGGGTGAGAAGACGTGGTGGTCATGCACGCAGAAAGGAAGAAAGGTAATAAAGGAAAGGAAATGGAATGTTGTTTGTTGGGGGGGGGAATCAAGCAACGAGCATCGTCCATGCTGTGCCCCTCCTTTCAAGTCTCTCTCGTTCTCTCTGGACATGGCAAGTTCTGCTGCTCTCCGTGAACACAGTCGATACATCTCTCCACGAACACATCTCTCCGTGAACAGGCGACCATCTCATGCATGCAAGCAACGATCACCGCCCCTTTGCTTGCTTGCCACCCACCCAGGTCCACCAACCTCACCATCATCTCTTCCACCAACATCACCACCATCTGTCCCTGCATCAACTCGCAATCCCCCCCCCCCGGGCGTCCGTCCACGATAACCTTCTCTTCCCTCCTCCCTCCCCTCTCTCCCCGCATCATTCATGGCCACTTCACACACTCACCGAAAGGAAGGTGGAGTCGGGTGTGATGAATGTGATGTGTGTGTGTATGTGGTTGTGTGGTTGTGGTGTTGCGTGGGTCCCTGTTGAAATGAACGTACCAGCAAGCAAGGGAACAAGCAAGCGACGCAGCGCCAGGACACATGTACACACACACACACACGGAGGTCACGTCAACCAAGCACAAGAACAACGAATGCGTGGTGGAGTGGAGTGAGAAAGTGCGCGTCAAGGCGGATCAACAGAGTCAGGTGGGGGGTGGGTGCAGCGAGCGGGTGCCCTTGTTGCTTGCTTGTGTATTTGGCACGGTGTTGCGCCGTAAGCGAGTGTGGCTGTGTGTGCGCGCTTGCAGGTGATGGCTGATGATGGATCGACAGGAAAGCTTACGCAGCGGTGTGATGTGAATGCGAACGTGTGTCTCTCTCACAGCACTCCACATCACAACACACGCTCAAGCAACGCTGGTATGTCGGTTGCGAGAGGGGGAACAAGCACAACGAACAACCCAACCGAACACCGCACCTCCCTCCCACACACGCGCACAGCAGAGCACAGCAATCGGCTGGCTAAGCTGAACGGTGAACCAAACACACACCACAACAGCACGCACGCTCTGCCACGCGCACTTTGCAGGCAATACTCACTGAAACAGAAGGCGAACACACCCTGCGAGGAATGCACACCAGCCAGCCAGCCAGCGGAGCGAGCGAGAGACAGAGAGAAAAAACAATGGGTGGGGAAAGCACGCACGCACGCACGCACGCACATGCACTCAGTCAAGTCAGGCTTCACGACCACCACACCGCACGAAGTAAACACAGACGTCGCAACCAGCCCAGGGAAAAAAACGGTTGCCCTGACGGTTGAACCGGTGGCTGACGACCGTTGGACGGCACCGTTGCTCGGGAAAGCGCCAAGCATCACCATCGCCAAACACCGTGCATGCATGCAACAACAGAACCCTGACAAACACAAAACGCCACCAAAACGGTCAAACTGCGTCGAAATCGGATCACATCACACCAACAACCAGCGCAGCAATTCTGGCGCACACACACTTTGAGCTTTGACGATGATTTGAATGAATTCTTCTTCTTCTGGTTTTTTGTGCGTGTGTGGTGGCGGCAGGGAGCCCTACGCAACCACCAATCAGTCGCGCAACGGCAAGCAAAACGATAACGGTTGTGTGCGTGCATGTCATGCAAGTTCGGGGCTTCGAAATGCACAACCCACATGGACATTCGGTGTTTCGTTGAAACGCGTTGAACGTACCGATGCAACATGTGCAAGAAGCAAGACGATTGTGGGATGGCAACTTTTTTGTTACTGGTTGCCGCGCAGTGTTTGACTGGCAACGTGGCATATCGGTGCGCGGTTGTTGTGGTGGCGCCACTGTTGCAGTGCAAGGCTTGGCCTTCCAACCAAGCGCGTGTGCCAGCAACATCGTCGCAACCGCGCCATCTTCGCGCCCCCAAACGTGGTTGTAAAGCCCGATGAAGCAAGAGCTCCCTTTCGCACTTTGCTTCGCAATCATCGAGTGCCACCGCAGCCCACTGCAGCAATTATTTGCGATGGGTGGACTTGGCATGCTGCTGCGCTGCTGTGGCAGTGGGTTTTGGGTGGCGACTGTAGTGTATAAGTGTATGGGTAATCTACTCATCAAGCAACAGAGCAGCAGAGCAGCAGCGAGAAGATGAAGCAATGACGTGTAGTGTCATGAGGAAATGCTGGAAATGGAAGGGTAGGGTACTCAACCACGCATGGGTGGATGGCGGCATGGCCACTGCTTTGCCAGTCATGCTTCTTCACTTGGTTGACAAGAGTGCTGTCCTTTCCACGCTTCCTCATCACCCATGGATTCAGCGGTGTCATTCGTTCATTCGTTCATTCGTTCACATCAACAACAAGGGGAGAAAAAAAAAAGAGGGGGCCAAGTAAGAAACACCGAGGGCGATGAGATGACATGACAAAGCAAGACATGCTCTCATCTCAACACAAAAAGCAAAGCACAGGCAACAACTACGGCATTGAGTGGAAAGGAACAGGGATGGGCGCACTTGTGCAACAAGCCAATCACAATACGAAATACAGAAGAAAAAAAAACACACACACACACGCACACACAATAAGGAAAGACAACATGTGGCCGGAGAGAGAATGAGTGAGTGCTGTGGGTGAGGTGGTGTGAGATGGAGACGATGTGGGGAATAGTGTGTATGTGTACGTTGGGGGGAGGGGATTGGAGGGCGGGAGGGAGGGAGGAAGGAGCACACAACAACGTGTTGGAGCCCAACGATCAAGATCACACAAACCAACACACACACATACACCCAAAACGACATATACGTACACACACACAGCACATAATACTACACGCACACGCGCACACAGCGAACGAAACAGTCCCCATCAAGGTGGAAGATGCAGTCATTGGGCAAAAAGGTGTAACGCCAGGCAACCACCATCAAGACCTAAACGCGCCACATTACAATGGAGACAAACAAAACAGTTGCCCCCCCCCCCGCAAAGAAGCAAACAACCAGCGATGATACGTGTCTGACAGCGAGAGGACAACATCGGAACGAAGAAACGAAAAGGAAAGAAAAGAAAAGAAAAAAAGGCGTCTACATAAAAGGCTTCTATCACATACAAGCACGCGCACAAGCACGCGCACAAGCACGCGCACGAACACGCACACACCACTGCAGGCACACGAGCACACGCACACACCACTGCAGGCGCATGTGACCGTCATCAGATCTTGTCATCGGATGTGGTGAACTCGGTCATGACCACGTCGTTGACGGGGCAGGCAGACTGGGCAGCCCACGCCGCAAACTCGTCAAACAGCACAACGCCGCCGCCGTTCTCGTCCATGAGCGCAAACTCATCGCGCGCGTCCTGCTCGCCCATCTTCATGTCCAGCACCTTCAGGCCCTTCTTGAACTCCTCAAAGTCCACGCGCCGGTCGTCGTCCGTGTCAATGTCGTCAAAGGCGTCAAACAGGCAGTTGAAGTAGAGCAGGTTGGACAGGAGCGCAGGGAACTCCTTCTTCTCCACCCACGAGTCGCCATCGCCATCGCGCAGCGTCGTCTTCTTGTACGCCCGCATCAGAGCAGGCTTGTTGTTCAGCACTGGAAACCGCTCAACCTGCACGTGTGTGTGTGTGTGTGTGTGAGGGAGGGAGGGGGTGTATGTGTGTGTGAGAGTGTGTATGTTTGTGTATGTGTGCATGCGTGTATGTGTGTGTGCGAGCGTGTATGTGTGCGTGTGAGTGTGTTTGTTGTGCATGTGTGTGCGCGCGCGTGTGTTGTGTTGGACGTATTGAGACAGGCAATGCAAACAAATAAACCCACACGCGCGCAGAGCGACCGCACACACACTCACTCACTCACGAAACGCACAACACACTCACACATGCTGACGTACCACAAACTTGTCAATCTCGGCCAGGCTGACAATGTTGTTGCCGTTGAAGTCGAGCTGCCGCCAAAAGGCCTTGAGCTGCTGTGGATCCTGCAACGCAGCCTTAATCTCCTTCTCCGCACCCTGGAACTTGCCCGTGCTAATGGACGGCGTATCATCCACGTCGTCGTCATCAACAACAGCGGCGCGCGCTTCCTTCACGGGCCGGTCCTCCATGGTGTCTGCCGTATCCTCGACAGCATCAGCCTGCTCCCGTGTTGGCGCAGCCATCTCATCGCGCACTGCACCGTTGGCCTTCTTCTTCTTCTTCTTGTGCGAGCCATCAGCCTCCACGCGGATCTTGTTCTGCATATGTGTGTGTGTGTGTGTGTGTGTGTATGTGTGTGTGTGTGTGTGCGCGCGCGTGTGGGGGGGGGGTTGCAGTGGGTGCCCGTTAATGTGAGTGACATGCACTGCAGAATCGAAAACAACACAACCACACAAGTATGTACACACTCTCACAAGCAAAGCAACACACACACTCTCTCTCACAAGCAAAGATACACACACACACACACACACACCCGCGTGTGCACGAACCGTCATGTTGCCGCGGTCTGTGGCGAGCCAGTCGTGCACTTCAAAGACGATGCGCTTGTTGGTCACAGTATCGCGGACCGTGACGCGCTCAACAAACCACGCGCTGCTGGCGCCAGAGTCATCCTGCTCCAGCGTGATGGCCGTGATGTCGCCAATGGACTTGCTCTCAACAGCAAACACGTCCTCGTTGCCAGCCTGCGATTGTGTGGCGGAGAAGCCAAAAATTAAAATTAAAAAATAAATGAAATAAAAACAACAACAACAAAACCAATGGCATCGGTGGTGGCCACAAAGCGCGCGAGTGGGCGAGTGGATGTAGCAGCACATGCATAACGCATGCGAGTGGAACGAACACATGGATGTACAAAAATGGACGGGAAATAATGCCGCGGTCAAACAGCATCAACACAAAAGGACACCCACATGCACAGCTGCAGGAACGCCAACATGACGCTGACACTCCCGCGGTAAAACACCACAAGAGTCAGAAAGACTCGTTGCAGAATACCGAACCGCCCCCCCCCCCTTTCCCTTCCTCTCCACTCCATTCTCTATCTCCCCTCCACGCCTGTGTGTTGCGTGGGCCGGGGGTTCACTCACGTCAAAGTTGTCCGAGTCCTCACGAAGCGGTTCGCGGCGCGTGTCGCCCTTGCTGCCGTGGATGGTCAGGTACACGTTGGCGTCGGTCGCGTGCGAGGCATCGCTGCCCGTGACGACTGTGACGTTGTAGCTCTGCACCTTCTCTGCGGGCGCGAGCTTCTTCGGCGGTGACGGCTTGGCCTGCACGGGCGACTGCGCCTGCTGCGGCTTCTTCGCGGGCTTGACTGGGGACGCGTTGTTGGAGGCGGCCTTGCTGTTGCCGTTCTGGTACGCACCCATGGGCGCCAGTTTTGTTGGGCTGCCGTTCTTCTTGTACTTCTTGTTCTTCTGATAGCGCAGGTCGCTGCGCAGCTTGATGGCCCTGAGCACAAGGTTGGGGGTGTAATTCAAACAGAACAAGCGCATGTGTGTGAGTGTGTGTGTGTGTGTCATTGTGTGAGAAAAGGGTGAGAAAATGGTGGGTAGGCGGTAGTTGAGGGGACAGCTGAGAGTAAGACAGGGGCGATAACCGCACGAGCAAACGAAATGCGCGCTCTGCCGCACAGGCAAGGACGCATGGACACGGAACATAGCAACGACCATGCACACAGTAGAGGCAAACGCACATCTTTGCAGGGGAAGACTGGCTGATGGGGACCGGGGAGAAGTAAGGCAGGGCCTTGAAGCGGCCGCGCGTGACTGCGACATATTGGCCGCCATCGGACACGCCGTCCAGCGAACGGATGCGACGCCCGTTGATGTCGTACACCTGTTGCGCGATGACACACGTGTGCGTGTGTGTGTGTGTGTGTGTGTAGTGGGTGAGAACAAGCAGTGGACTGGTGGTGTGCGAGAACATCAGGCCACCACGCAGATTGGGAAGATTCTCCACTCGTACACACAAGCAATCAGCGCACGGGGTCCGTCCAACACGATAACAAGCAAACAACACACGCACAAACATGCGCGTGCACGCCCGCACCACCACGACACAGCATCCAACTACACACAGCATTCACACACGCACACACACACATCCACACACACACACACACATACGGTACCTTTGTGATGGTTTCGACGGTGTAGGCCTTGACCTTCTTGCCAATTTCATCGTAGAGGTGTTCAATGTCTGGGGTGGTGCGGTTGTTGACCAGCACCTTGATGGGTTTGAACTGCAGGTCACCGTTCATGGTGACGTAGATGGTCTTGCCACGCACGCCGGCGCCCAGCTTCTTGGCGCGGCCAGACCGGATCACGCGCTGCACCGAAGACAGCGTCGTCTTGTGTTTCTGTGCCACGCACACATGTGTTTGATACGGGTCAGACGTGAGTGGGGTGACGGTGAGTGAGGCACGCGACAGCAGTTTGTAAACGGATGTGTGTGTGTGTGTGGTGTTGTGTGGTGTTGTGTGCTTGCTTTGATTTGAGTACGTGTGTGTGTGTGTGACGGAAAGGTCAGGGTGAGACACGTGTTACACGTGTGTATGTTTGCTTGTGCGTGTAGTTTATGCTGACCTGCATCATGGTGCGCTCGCGCGTGCGCTGGTCCTGAATGTTCGAGTATGGGATGCGCTTGAAGCGCTCCAGGCCTGCGGCGACGTAGGATTTGCCGTCCTCAAGGTCCTCGAACGTCTTGACCTTCTTGCCCGTGTCGGCATCGTAGATGAGGCGGATGGCGCCCCGCTGGGGACGGACGCCTTGCGTCACCTGCATGTGTAGGTTTGGGGTGAGGGGATGGGGTGAGGGAATGGGTTGAGTGAGTTGAGAAGGCGAGGGTGAGGAGCATGGTGCATGGCAAACGACGAGCTGATCAAGATGTGCGTGTGTAACACACACACACACACACACACACACACACACACACACATACACACGCACACACACGCACACGCGCGCGCGCACACACACACACACACACACACACACACACACACACACACACACACACACACACACACACACAAGGACGTACTCGGTCAAGAAAGGCGTCCCAGTTGCGTGTGACATGGGTGTTGACGACCACAGACCGAGCCGGGAAGAACATGTCACCGTTGCTGTAATGGGAAAGGAGAGGAGCGCGGTGATCAGGTGGTGTGAGTACGGCAGGGTAGAGTATACAAACGTTCACCACACGTCTACACACGCAACGCACACCACACAACACACACCCATACAACGCAACACACACACACACACACAACAGACACATGCACACAGGTTCACCACACGTCTACACATACACACAACACAAAACACACAACACACAACACAACACGCATACAAACACAACACGCTTACCGGAACATGCGCACGGTCTTGGGGTGAACCAGGGTTCCCATTGTTGGTGGTGGTGGATGGAGCAAAGAAAGGACACCAGAGAGAAAAGGAGCAACAGCAACACTTGTAACAACACCGAGTGCAGCGACAGCAGCAGCAGCAGTCGAGGAGCAGCAGAGAAGGACAATGGGTGCTGAGGCGGCAGCCAAAACCAGGAGATGAACCAGCCAAGCTTCTGCTTAGTCACGGGAGGCAGCACCAGGCTGACAACAGTCGAGGCGGAGCGAGTACAAGGTGAGTGAAGAGAGTAAGGCCCGGCTTCAGAAGGGAGACGTAAGGTGGAATGCAGTAGACGGTGGTTGGCTGGTTGGTTGGCAGTCAGCCTTCGATCGTGTTGCAAGCAACAAGGCGACGAGATGGACAAACGCTTTCAGCGGTGGTGGGTGATGGGTGATGGAGAAGAGAGATTGGCAACCAAGAGAGAGAGACACACACACACGCAAGGCACTGCAAAGGCACACACCTTCGTTGTTGGTGGAGCGTTTGTTTTGTTGTTGTTGTCCAAGGCGATGGCGATGTTTGGCGCAAACAGAGGGGCTGGTGGATCTGTCGGTGCGCAGTTAGACGCTTGAGTTGTGTGCGAATCGTAGATTCAAGGTTCCGCTCTTGGAAACCATTTGCGCCGCGAAATTCAAACGCTGCACATTCCATGCAATACCTGGCAGCGGTTGGCGGTGTCTGGTTGCTTGGTTGGGGAAGGCAGAGTGTGAGTGCTTGTGCAACTGCGTGTGATGGTGTGTGAGTATGCGTGTGTGTGCAACTGCGTGTGATGGTGTGTGAGGGTGTGAGGGTGTGAGCGGGAAGGAGAGACTGAGAGAAGAAAGAGAAAGAGAGAGCTGGCTTTAGAGAAAAGCATTGATGTTTGGAGGTGCGTGTGTGTGTCTGTGTGTGTCTGTGTGAGTGAGACGTCGTACGGGGGTGCAGTGTGTTGGATGAGAATGCTGAGGTGGTTTGGTGATACACATATCTATGTCCAACAGCGAAGAGCAAGAGAGAGATGCCGAGCGAGGAGGAGGAGGGAGACCTTCGTGTTGTCTCTCTTTTCAGCTTTCTTTTCAGATACGGCTTGCTTATGTATTCTCTTTTTCTTCTCATTTCTGATGTGTTGGCTTTTTTGCATGACGGTAGCACGCTCGGTGGGGGTGGTGGAAGAAGTGAAGCAAAGGGAAAGAAGTGAAGATACAGAAGAAGACATTGAAAGAAGCCCAGAAGCACTACTTGACACAACAACAATCCATGTCAAGATGTCACACGAATCTACGAACACGAATCAACCACGCAAAAAGGATTATCCTCAGCAAGCCTGCGTTCCTCAATCCCTTCCAGTCATCCCTCCAACAAACTGGGAGGGCAGCCAGCTAGAGCTCCCCAGGGAGGGAGAGTACTGCCTGCTGTGATAGTGTGATAGTGATATTGAGCTGTAGTGTAGAGCTGGAGAGCTGTGAGACACTGAGACCAAAGTAGCAAAGTCATCAACACACAAGCACAAGCAGCGGCTGCTCCTGGCAAGATTTTTCGTGGGAATCTTGGACTAATATTCAACGGTCCTCTTGCTCTGTGCGGCTTGCTTCCCAACAACGAACGCATCGCCCAGCCCAGCCTGCCTGCCCGTTTCTCATTCCTTCCTTCCTCCTCTTCTTGCACCTCCCCTTGTGCATCGTCTCTTGTTGAGCGAGAGTGCTGTGCGCTCACCATCAACAGCTACCGCTGCAACACACCAGCAAAGCAACCGCGCAAGCACCCCCCCCTGCTTTGCCTCGCACACAGACACACAGGCAGACACCACAGCTCCCACTTCGATCAATCAATCAATCAGCAAGCAAACGAACGCCACACATCGCTCTTTTTTTTCTAACCGTCGTCATCGTCATCGTCATCGTCATCGTTATCGCCACCATATCGGTTTCGAGGCAGATCTGTGCGTTCACCACCACAGCCCACTCCACATCTCGCTTCTCCCAAGTACACTACTGACCCTTACCACTCAAGCAAGACCAACAGCAAGGGCATACACCAACCAGCCGGAGAAGCGTGGTCTCTGTGACCGCCACCTCCCCACATCTTTCGCGGTACACGATTGCGACACGTGACACCCACCGCCAGCATGCGTGCGCGTCCCGTGTCCCACGATCGCACAGGCGACACCATTGCTGTACCTCCCACAGCTCCAGCGATGACAGCCCACACCGCGTGCCCTGGTGGCACATGGCGCTCACACTCCAGCGGCTGCATGAAGAGCAGGCGGAAGACGCCTCTGCTGCCTCTTCCGTTGCTTCATGCAACCGTTGCTGCGATGCTGTGCATTCTCTTTCTGACCTCCGCGGGCACCGTCCGCGCCGCAACCTCGTGCCAGCCCGGAGAATACCTCAACATCAACGCCACCTGCATCGAGTGCCTAACCGGCTACACGTGAGTGTCGTGTATGTCGCGTGCGCGCGTGTGGTTGTGTGTGTGTGTGCTTGTGCGTGTGCGTGTGCGTGTGCGTGTGCGTGTGCGTGTGCGTGTGCGTGTGCGTGTGCGTGTGCTTGTGCGTGTGCGTGTGCGTGTGCGTGTGCGTGTGCGTGTGCGTGTGTGTGTGCGTGAGTGTGTGTGTGCGTGTGCGTGTGCGTGTGCGTGAGTGAGTGAGTGAGTGTGTGTGTATGTGTGTGTGTGTGGGTGCATGATCTTTGTACACGTGTTGGTGGGTGTTTGCCCTCTGCGCGTGCGCACTTAGCGCGTGCATGTGCGGGTAGCGTGTGTTGCTTACGGAGTTGCCGTGTGATCGCGTGCGGGAAGTTTGCAATCCTGTCGTATTGAAGTTTGCACGTGTGCTTGCCGCATGATGCTGCGCCATCCACCAGTGCGCACTTTATTGCCTGCTCACAGCCATGTGCCAACTCGATTCACTGCGACTGTTCAGGTGCTCTGGTGGCGTATCTGCGGCAATGCCCTGCCCTACAGGCACATACAACCCTGTTCCCGGACAATCGTCGCAAGCCTTGCACTGCTTGGTGAGTTGGACGAACACCACACACACACATTCACACACATTCACGCACACACACACACATTCACGCACATTCACGCACACACACATTCACGCACATTCACGCACACACACACACATTCACACACATTCTCACACACACACACACTCGCACACACACACACACACACATTCGCACACACATTCACCATTCTCTCACCCTTTTCTGCGCTCCACGACTTGCCTGACCGCCCCGCCCCGTCCCCCTTGTGACGCGTCCCCTCACCACAGGCGTGTGAAGCTGGAGACTACACCACAGCGCGGGGATCCACCTCGTGCCAGACGTGCCCTGCTGGCCACACGTGTGCAGACCCTGCGGCAGAACCGACCGAGTGCCCACAGGGCTCATACGCGCCAGCAGGCAGCACGACATGCAAGGTATTCATTCAACAACAGCTGGCTTCTTCCCAGTTCTGCAATGTTGCCCAGCTCCCCTTGTTGGTTTGCGCTGCACACGTCCGCTGATGCGTATTGTCGATGTGCATGCGTGTCGTTGCACTTGATCCCTATCTGCCTCAACCACGTCCCCCACTCTACTCACTGCACTGTGCTGCACTGTGCTGCTTTCGCTTGGCCTGCACCACCCAGGCGTGCCCCGCCGGTTCCAAGTGTCCATATGCGCAGCTGGCGGCCCCCATTGCCTGTGCAAACGGCACGTACGCCCTCGCAAATCAGGTGAAGCAGGCAGTGGACCCACTTGACACACACACGCACACAGAGATACAGACACACCAACACACACCAGCACACACCAACACACACCAACACACACCAACACACACCAACACACACCAACACACACCAACACACACCAATACACACCAACACACACCAACACACACCAACACACACCAACACACGAACATTCATGGTTCCTGCAACAACCCCATGTGCTCACGTTCCATTTCCATGTGTATGCGTGCGTGTGTCAGACATCTTGCTCGCTGTGTCCCGCAGGCTATTCTTGCCCGGACGCTTCTGCCGCCATTGCGTGTGGCGTGGGCTACTACAGCCCACAGGGAGAGCCAGCCTGCACCATCTGCCCACTCGGAACATTGTACGTATTGCCATTGCTCCCTCTATACAGTGTCAAACTTGCCACAACACACACACACACACACACACACACACACACACACACACACACACACACACACAAAGCACACATCTTGTTCGTCTCTGGCCCTTGTTCACGCCTTGGGTTCACGCTCATCCCATTACCGATCACGCCTGTGAATTGTTGCTGTGACAGCTGTGCGTCCAACACCACGGAAGCGCCCGAGCTGTGTGCAGAAGGCTCGTACGCCATGCTTGGGCAGGAAGCGTGCACCGCCTGTCCCGCCGGCTACTACTGTCCACATGCTGATGAACGTACGCTTCTCCTTCCCACGTGTCGTCTTCTCGTGATGTTGTTGAGTCTCACGTCACCGTGCCATGTCCTCTCTTTCAGGCATGCGCGCTTGCGATGTCACTCTGCCATCATCACCATTCGCTCTCACAATACATGCGAACGTGATTCCTTCACACACACACACACACATACACACACATACACACACACACACACACGCACACACACACACACGCACACACGCACACAGAGCCGGTTGCGTGCAGCAACGGCACGTACACGAGCAGCACGGGGGCCATCACGTGTCTCGTGTGCGAGGCGGGCCGCGACTGCAGCACAAAGACGTCATCAACACCATGTCCAGCAGGAACATACAGCGGCCAGGGCCTCCCGTCCTGCGAGCCTTGTGCAGAGGGTTACTACGCCAACGCAACAGGCCTCTCGCATTGCCTGCCCTGTCCACCTGGCTACACCTGCGCCAACCCCGCATATGACCCCGTGCTGTGCAGTGCCGGCTACTACAGCGAAGGCACGAACGGCACGTCAGGTGCGGTGTGCATCGCCTGTCCTCGTGGTACCACGTCCACCCCAGCTCGCACCGGCTGCGACGACTGCCCACAAGGTGCGGTTTTGTATGCGTGCGCGTGTGTTTGATTTGTCTGTGAGTGCACTCGTGTGTGTGCGCGCGCATGTTTGAGTGTGTGTGTGTGTGAGTTAGTGGATAGCGTCGTGTGTGCGTGCATTGTAGCAGCGGTACATGTGCTTTGTTGCTTCTATCTGGCCGCTTCTGCCTACCATCTGCACACATCCATTTGTTGCTGTCAGTGTCGAGTTGTTCACAAGCTTTTCTCATGCCTGCTCTCCACCACAACGATGACAACGACCACCACCGCCACCGCAGGCCACCACTGCAATGACCCCACCATCGATCCGCAGCCATGCCCTGCCGGCACATACAGTGCGGGCGGCACCGTGAAGGCCTGCACGACTTGCACGGCAGGCTTTTACTGCCCAGCACAAGCCACACAGCCATTGGTGCGTGTGTGTGTGCGTGTGCGTGATTTCGCGCACATACGTGTCTTGTGTGAATGGCTGGCTGCGACACACCATCGCCAAGGCACCTGACACAATGTACCCGCGTGAGACTCATACTTCACACGCTCACATGGATATGGATATGCTTGTGCTCCATCACCCACTCTTGTTTCCTCGTACATGCCAGCCGTGCGTCTCGGGCACGTTCTCTGGCGCGGGCGCGAGCAACTGCACGGCATGCCCTGCCGGGTACGCCTGCAGCTCCACTGCTGCTGTACCTGTGGCGTGCGATGCGGGCTACATCAGCGATGAGGGCGAGACAACCTGCCGCCCCTGCGGTCTCGGAAACTTCTGCCCTTCATCCACAGAGGGGCCGTACCCCTGCCCAGGTGCGTGCCTGCCTGCCTGCCTGTGCGTGCGTTCCTGCCTGCCTGCCTGTGCGTGCGTGTGTGTCATGCGGCATATCATATTATCCCTCCTCACTCTCTCCCACAAACACTTGCATTCACATTCACACACACACACACACACACACTCACTCAACCATGCATCAACGCAGTGGGTACATACACGGTCAACGCCACGTCGCAGTCGTGCCTGCCCTGCCCAACCGACCACGCCTGCCCGTCCGCAACCGCCACCCCCGTGCTGTGCTCCTTTGGGCAGACTGTCAGCGCAACGTTGACGACGTGCGAGCCATGCCCTGCCGGGTTCTCCTGCCCAACACCATCCTCCACCCCACAGCCGTGCACCCCGGGCAACTACAGCACAGAAGGCAGCGGCTCCTGCACCGCGTGCCCCGCTGGGTCGGCGTGCCCAACAACCTCCGCCAGCCCCGAGGCGTGCTCGCCAGGGTCATACAGCACAGAGGGCAGCACCCACTGCACCCGCTGCCCGCCCGGCTACGAATGCCCGAGCACGGCCGACACCTCCCTCATCAAGGCCTGCCGCAACGGCACATACGCGCTGGGGAGCGCCACTGCGTGCGAGCTGTGCGATGCCGGGGCCTACTGTCCATCCACATCGCAGGGCCCACAGGGCACGTGCCCACCCGGCACCTACTCCCTTGACGGCCAGGCATCGTGCACGCTGTGTCCAGCAGGCAGCAGCTGCCAGTACAATGACAGGGACCCGGCTGCCTGCGCTGCGGGTTCGTTCAGCGAGGCTGGTGCTCTGGAGTGCACCGTTTGCCCGCCCGGCTTTGCCTGCCCTTACACAACGCAGGCCATCATGCATCCATGCGATATTGGCTCCTACTCGGAGGCCGGGTCAACCACCTGCAATGTCAGTGGCAGCGCTGTGAACGTGTGTGTTTGGGTGTGTGTGGATATGTGTGTGTATGTATTCGTGTGTGTGTGCATGTTTGTGTGTGTATTTGTATGTATTTGTGTGTGTGTGTGTATTTGTGTGTGTGCATTTGTGTGTGTGTGAACATGCGTTCTTGCGCGTGAGCGCGGTTTGCTCGTCATTGCGCTCGCTGTCGTGTCATTGCGCCTCTCACTCATTCGGTGTTGATTTGCTTCCTTGCTCGCGCTGCAGGTGTGCCCCGCAGGTTTCGCCTGCCCATCCGTCTATGGCGACACCCGCGTCTCCTGTGCGGTGAGTCCACATCCTTTGTGGTTTTTCATCTTAGCATTTGCACTCACCGACGAGTGTTTTTGCACTCCTTTGGTCCAATTCGACTTTGATCGTGTACACACACACACACACTCTCTCGCACATACATACACTCACTCACTCACACTCTCACACACTCGCATTCGCACAAACACTCACATACACACACACACACACACACGCATTCGCACAAACACACACACACACACTCACACTCATTTACGTCAACTGTCTTCGCTCCATGTGTGCCGTTCCACGTGTATGTGTGCTTGCAGACGGGCTGGTTCTCGACGGTCAACGCCACTTCCTGCACGCCGTGTCCTGCCGGCTACAAGTGCCCAACATCGGACTCCGACTCTCGCACAGCATGTGATCCTGGCACATACTCTCTTGGCGCCACAGACACCTGCACTGTACGTGTGTATACGTGCGTGTTTTCGTGCGTGTATGTGTGGGTCTGTGTATGTGTCTGTGTTGACCTCGACGTTGCGGCTCGGCATTGTGTGATCTTCCTTCTCTTCCTTTTGCTTGTTTTGTTTTGGGTGTGCTTGTGGTGGTTTCTTTGAATCTGCACACACATTGTCTCGATGACCGAGACCTCAACCGTTGCTGTGCGCGTGCATGGCTGCTGGTTGCTGACACCGCTCCACCCACGCTTGCGTGCTCCGCGCTTTGTTCTTCGCGCCAACAGGATTGCACCGCCGGAAGCTACTGCCCCTCCGTGGCGCTCCCACCTCGCGTGTGCCCGCCGGGCACGTACAGCAGCGACAGGGCAACGCAGTGCACCGCTTGCCGTGCCGGGTACTTCTGCACCACCACCACAGAGACGCTGTGCAACGAGGGGTTCTGGAGCGCTGCCAACAGCACGTATTGCGAGCCGTGCGACTCAGGCTACCTGTGCGACGCAGGCACGCGCCCGCATACGTCACCCAACGGTAACCCGTGTGCACAGGGCGGCTACTGCAACGGCGCGACACGCACGGAGTGCCCAGATGGCACCTACGGCAACGTGGCTGCAAAGGGCACCCTGCACGAGGCGTGCTTCGAATGCCCAGCAGGTGCGAAACGCCAACACAACAACAACAACAACAACAACAACAACAACAACAACAACAACAACAACAACAACAACAACACCACCACCACCACCACCACCACCACCACCACCACAAACCCGTTCATGTTGAACCGAATGAATGGCCTGTTTCTGAACCTGCTCGACGTGTTGTTTTCTCGTGTGCATGTGTACCAGCAACCACTTGCCATTCGTGTGCATGTGCATGTGTGTGCTGTTTGTCGCATGTGGTGATTCCATTTGCTCATTGCAAGCCAAATTGCAGCGTGCATGGGCGTCCAATTCGTTCTTGCTCACACACAACCTCTCCCAACTCCCCACTCATCGCAACCCACTTCCGCCTCACCCCACCTCGCAACTGCTGCTTTCCTCCACAGGCTCGTACTGCGATGGCACGGGTGCGGGCGCAACAACGCCTACAGCGTGTCCGGCCGGCTACTACTGCCCTGCCGGCACGGGTCGCATTGATCTGCAGCCGTGTCCTGCTGGTTACTACGCCCTATCTGGCGGCAGCAAGGAGAGCCTTGACACGGGCTGCACCCTGTGCCCTGAAGGGTACTACTGCCCGCAGGCAAGCGTCAACCCAATCATCTGCCCACAGGGCTACTTTTGCCCCACCGGCACGGAGGAAGGAACGCAAAACTCGTGCCCAAGCGGCACGTACGGCGCGACTGTTGGTTTCTCCGACGCATCAAACTGCACCATTTGCCCAATTGGCTACTACTGCCCGGATGGCCACAACACCCACCCGTCTGTGAGCCCGCTGCCTTGTCCCGGCGGCACGTACAACCCGTTCACGGGCGCAGGCCTCGAGGTGGACTGCATCCCCTGTCCCTCTGGTCGCTCCTGCAGTGGCACGGGTCGCAACAACACAAACCCTTGCGAGCAAGGCCACTACTGCCCACGTGGCACAGTCACCAGCACGCAGTACCCGTGTCCGCCCGGCACGTACACGGACAGCACGTCTCTGGGTGCTGCCGAGGAATGCAGCCCATGTCCCGCTGGCTCTGCTTGTGGCTGGGCAACAGGCTACACGGACAACGTGCCTCTCAGCTGCTCTCAGGGCCACTACTGCCCCACAGGCACACCCACGCCAACTTCCTTCCCCTGCGCTGCCGGCACATACACGGCGCGGTCCAACCTCACCGCAGCCAGCGAGTGCTCCACGTGCCCAGAACGTATGTGCTTGTGGAAGACTTGCTTCTACGTGTGGATTTGCATGCGTGTGTTTGCGTGGAACGGAGAGCGTTGTCTACTTTGCACTGGCGTTGCTCCTTCGCAGTCATTGGCTGGCGTGTACTTGCTTTCTTTCTCCACTGTGTCTCTCACTTGCTGTCATTCTAACTTGTGACTTGCCGACTCACACAACAACATCAACACACACACACACACATACACACACACACACACACACACACACACACACACACACACACACACACACACACACACACACACACACACACACACACACACACACACACACAC